ATACCAACATCAAATGACTGCTGAACTCCAATAAGCATGGATGTGTCAGATGGAGCTGTTACTATAACTGACAGCAGAGCTCAATGCTGCCCTACAAAGACAGAAAAAAAGTAACTAAGGACAAGATAAAGCTGAGAAAAAACAGTTTAAAGTTTTGAGACTGGTTGCCAAACTGTGCAACGAACAGATAAATTATAAATGTAATGCCTTTATTGCTACAGCAGGCAGCTGTTTTCAGTGAAAAAGCTCAAAGCCCACTGTATACTATACCCGCTCAGCACAAAACAGCAGACAGATGAGTAGCCAGTGAACATAGTGGAGCATTTAGCAGCTAAAGAGCCAGATATTTCCCTCGGGAGTTTGTGTAGACCAAAAACAAAGCTGAAAGACGGTGAATATTGGACTTACTGTACATTCACAAATGTACACAAACACTTCAAATGAATGAGATTGTTGCTTTATGTAGATGCATCTATTTTCTAACAAAGAGGATGAGACCAAACAGTCATTGTAGGATTATGGATGCAGAAGAAAAACTTAAATCTGTAGGAAGTCAAGGCAGAGATGGAAGTTAGATACTCTGCTAGGCTAATAATATTTGGCAGGACTAAACAGCTCCTGATGTTTGTTTTTGTTTGTTTCTTCATAGTGGTTGGCTCTAGCTACTGTCTCATTTGGGATGATACATTTAATTACAAAGATGTTGGATGGTCAATTTCTCAATGACAAGAAACAGGTATTAAAGAGACAGCTTTAATTTTAAGGTGAGCTTTTTAGCTCTGCTTTATAGTTTTGCAAACTATGATGTTTCCTTAGAAATTTTACATTTCTAAGGTATAATAATATTTAATATGATCAAACAAATATTGGAATTTAGATTCATAAGGACCAGTGTGTAGGATTTAGTGGGATCTAACAATGAAGTTGCACTAAAGCTCAGCCATCCAAGTGTCTAGGAGAAACTGCAGAGGTTGGAAACTCGCAAAAAATGCGTAAGGCCCTATCTAGAGCCATTGTTAAGTTTGTCCTTTCTGGGCTACTGTAGAAACATGGTGTTTCAACATGGCGGTCTCTGTAGAAGAGGACAGATGTAGATAAAACATATGTTGTAGATGAAAATTGCTCATTCTAAGGTAATGAAAGCACAATTCTTTTACACCAATGAAAACATACATATAAGTATAATATTCCAATAGATTCTCCTAAATGTTGTGTTCTCCACTGGACCTTTATCTCTACCTTGACTGAATGTGTAGCTACTGCATTTTGGCTTTGTAGGGCAGAACAGGCCAAAACATAAATAAGATAGAGATGTATAACTATTATAATTATTAAACAGTCATAACAATGCTACTTTTACTGTTGTCTTTGGGACAAGATATTATATGTGTAATAATGTAACATGTAACATTAGCATTTTATTATTCTGTACGGACAGTTTAATGAAAAAAGGAAAATGAAAATTCCTGCATTTCTTTGACTTAATAAGAAATAAAGTGAACAATATTTTCCTGAAAGTGCCACTTCTTTAATTAATATGATTATCCAAAATAACTCCTACTGTTCTTTTGCAAAAAAGGCATTCTGTTCATTCATCATCTGTCCAATTCCACACATACACCAATTTTGTGAAACCGATGTACAATTTATATTTTCCTTTTTCAAATCTTACCACCCAACAGCTGTGACTGAGAGCTTCCCCCCACCTGGGAACGAGAGTGCTGGGATTACTGTCGGCCTGGCAGATGGACATTCAGTCTCCTTTTCCTTCCCTCCCAGAATGCCTCTCATGGATTCCGTACATATCAAGCCCAGATATCATAATCTCATACTAATGTCCTTATGATGCATTCCAGTCCAGGCAGTTGTGTTGGTTGAGGGATCTGCCATCTAATCAATGATGTATCTCTCTCTGCTATTTGTGTGCAGTATAGATCCACTGCATTCTGCCTTGACCCTGGCCTGCCTGTCTGTGGGCTAAGAGCCAGTGGAGTATGGTGTCATTTTTGCACTATGTTGTGGGATTATAAAACAAAAGAGTTAAGTTAATAATGTTAATATGTGTTTCTTCTATTTCATTCTGGATATTTTTACAGATTATAGCACACATGAAGAAAAAAAATTCTTCCTGAAATGGCTTCCAGTCCTTTATTTTAGGCCATCCTCCACTAGGGGCCACTAAAGCTTCACTGGGGGTCGTGAGGCCGTCTTGATTTTAAGGGGTTTAAGACAACTGTTTACAAAAATATACAGTTGTTCTATAGGTCATAATTTTGTTCATTTCTGTGAAGTAAATAAACAAAGCTATTATGTTTAAAGTTTAGATTATAATTTATAAGACATGAAAAAATGTCACAGGATAAGGGCACGATGAAGACCTGAAGACAAACTATGCAGAAAGGTATGCAGTTAAAACAACCAAAGAGCAAATAGAACATTGCCCAAGCACTGGGGAGAGGAAAACACTGAATTTGTAAAAAAAAAAAAACACCTATTCAATTTTTATGATTGTTTTTACATAATACAGACAGAGGATTCTATAAAATATTACTGAAAATATCAGGACAACTCATCTCTGATAAAATATATACAGGAATTACACAAAATTCATCCAAAAAGCTCGTTTTACACAAACCTGCGGTTGTTGCATTCACTATTCTTTTGTACAGTTTATCAGTTGGTCTGTACTGTTATTGCTATGCATTGAATATAATATGAAGTATCCATGAAATATGTCACTTAGTGAGGGGTCGTCAGTTTAGTCAATGATAGAAAAAGGGTCCCTTAAGGAAAAAGGTTGGGAACCCCTTCTTTAGGCTACTTGCAGATTATCCCTCACTAATCCTTCAAAGTTTGCCACTGGATGGCACTAAAGTGCTGTAGAAGCAGTGAATAAGATGCCACTGGCTGCTTACCCAGACAGAGCCCCAAAGTCCCACCGCTCATGATCTTTCTGAGCCGAGGGAAAGATGGCTCTGACACAGACTGATGACTCATGTATAGGCTACAGTTCTGAATGTATAAAAACAAAAAATCCTCAACAAATTCTGCATTGACAAGAGCTACCAGTTCAAGGAAGCTACTGAATGGTAGAATCATACGGTTTGCCTTTCTGAAGGGTCTTATGCAGGGGCACCTGGCGGTCTGAAGGACTTTATGTAATCGTGACCACGGTGTGAATAAACATCATGGAAACCAAGAATAAATACATCTCAACATAGCTGATGAGCTTCAAATAACAGATGCTGTGCTATCAGCGTGGTAAAATGTGAATGGCACGTCACTGCAGCAAACATTCATTATTTTAATCACCGGATTCTTAATTTGACACAACAGAACTTTCCGAGTGACAGGACAGATTGCAGGATGAGTTTGTTGCAGCTCCACAGTATGTTCATGCACACAGCTTCATTAGCTGATTCCTCACTGTTCTACAGAGCAGGCTTGAGTGTCCTTATCACATGTTTAAGAGAAGCGACATGTGACTGAGAACATGTGTTATACAGTGTGGACATGTGATAATAAACTGTGGGCTGAGAATTATAAGGAGCTTTTAAACAGCAGGTGACAGACGTTTTTGCTTGCCTAACACAAAATGTCTCCCTCTGACATATCATTTTAATTCAACAGAGTCCTCAATGTAAATTAGTCTTCCTTTTTTCTTTTTGTGGTTTATTATTAAGTTTAAGTAGAGAAATAAATTGTTGATATTTTAGCAGCCAGTTGTGAATGTGTGTACATTTACTCAAGTGCTGTAAATATTAAGTATAATTTTGAGTTACTTTATACTTCTACTCTACCTCATCTCAGAGGGAGATATTGTACTGCCAGTGACCAGTTACTTTTCAGATTAAGATTTAACTAAAAAAATATTCTAAACTAAATAGTATAGTTTATGGTTAAAAATGTCATCAGCGGGTTCCAACTTTTTATTTATGTAGGAACCAGTGTTTGGTTTTGTCATTCGGGGCTACTGTAGAAACAATGGTGGTTTCAACATGGCAGACTCCTAGGAGGGGATCATTCCTAAGGTAAAGAAAAATCAACAATTTCTTATTTTCAGGTGATTATACACTAATGAAAACATTTCCTATGAATATTATATTCCATTTCTGCCAATAGATCCTCCTAAATGTTAACACTGGACCTTTAGAGTCATCATTTAATACAGTTTGGAAAAAAGCAGGTGATTGGATGTGTGCAACCAATCATATAACATAGTCAAACTTACCGAAGCCAGTCAGGAGAAGAGCAAAAACATCTATCCATAACTCTTCCATCAGGAAAAGCCTTCAGTGCTAGTAGCATCTATGCTAACACACACTGAGTCAGATTACATTGAAATGTAATCAGTTACTGAATTCAAATTACATGGCATTTTGTACTTAGTAACGCAATCCACTGGACAACTACATTACATGTCTCTACAATCTCTTGCTATGCAGCACTGGTCATTGCCACACCTAGTGGTAATCCGCATACATAGCTCATGCAGTAGCTGCCAGTAGTTCCTTATACTATAGAATGCTGATTGGCTTAAACCACTGTGGTTTGGAAACAAGCCAAAGCTTAAAGCCTCACAAGATAGATTCTTGCAAAACCTTGTGCAAAAGCTGAATTACAATATATTTTAAAGTAAAATACCGACTTTATTTTGAGTTATTTTGAATACTTGTAATGGAGTATTTTACTTGCATTGCTACTACGTACGTTTACTTACTGTAGGTAAAAGATCTAAGTAAACTTCTGTTAATAACAAAACAAAGCAATGCCTCTAGATAATTGAGCTGGGAACTGTTAGTTACTGCGTAAGCACAATATATGTTTCCTATGTGAAAAGGGTGAAATATGCTTTTTTTTATCCCTCTCTTGTGCTTTCTATTGTTCTGGAAATATTCAGTTAGAATCTTTGAAGTTATTTCCTGTTGAAAAATACAATCGTTTCCTGAGAGATGAAAAAACCCACACGAGTGTGCATGCGTGTGTGCACACGTCTTCGTCTTTCAGTGAAAGAAGAGGGCTGAGCATCAAGCCTTAAAGGTTAGAGGTGAGAGAGAGTCTGGGTGAGAACGTGGAAAATCAGAAAGCTAGCTTGCCAAAGCTTGGGCTCCCTAACAAACATTTAAAACAGCAAGAACCAAATATCAAATGGGAGGCTGGACAGCTGCCTTAGCTGTGTTCCCAGTCTAGAGTGAAGACCAAAAGGCTCGCCTGCAGTAAAAAGTTGAAGGGGAGAAAAAGAGAGAAAGAAAAGAGCTGGCACTTGGGAGTAGAACAAAAAGCTGATCTGGAAAGGAGCTGTGATGGAAAACCTGCCTGTCTACCACGGACCCATTGGCAAAGAAGAGGGCGAGAGGCGGCTGGCCCAGGACGGGCGGGATGGGTGCTACCTGGTCCGTAACAGTGACTCTGTGCCTGGCGTCTACTGCCTGTGTGTGCTGTGAGTATAAATCCAGATTGTGCAATATCTCTCTTTGTGCTTTCTCTGTGAGTAATCAAATCAACACATAACCCTATTTTCTACTATTATAGAGTTATTGATCTCCTCACATTTAAGAAAATAAAAGCACAAAATAAAAGCACAAAGGCATAAACAATATAACTGAGTGTTAACTGAAAAATGTGGGGACCTATTATCAAGTGTGAAAAGTGAGTCCCACAGGAGCAATAATGATGACAGTAGGGGCAAATACTTATTCAATTAAACTGAAAGATGAACTCTGGGTGAAGTTGTGTGTGTGTGTGTGTGCAGGAACCACGGATACGTCTACACATACAGACTTCACAGGGATGACGCAGGATCATGGGCTGCAGAAGTGAGACATTTTATCTTATTTCTTTTACTCTTATGCTGTTTGGACTATTTCCGCAACCCTAAAGATCCACAGAACCAGCGAAACAAGTGCACATCTGCCTCGCTTCAGTTGGTGTTTATCAGTTCTGGAGGTTGTTTTTGTGCCTGCCTAATTCAGCAAGCTGTGAATTTGAGACAAACGTGGGTTTTTCCAGGAGTGACAGCATTGAGAAATGGGTGCATTTCTCTTCCTTTAGCAATAACACCCTGTGAGATAGTCAACCTACCCCCCCAACAAATCTCAAACTTAAGACGCCACAGCATCAGCATATACTCTACAGAGATGGGAAACGTAGAATTGCATTTGACAGCATTTCTGATGGGATATGTAATTGAGCACTGAGGGTTGGCAAACACCCAGAGATGTGGATGTATAGAGACATCTGAAGGCTATGTCTCTCTCTGACAACTAAGCTAGATGCTGTTGTAACTACATTTTCCCCTCGCTCATTTTTACTGACAGCATCAAGCGAACAGATAGGGGGAGAAGACTTGAATAACACGAAATTCACTACAAGCTCAATAACAGTTTACATTATTCATGTGCAATATCAATCACTTTAATGAAATATTCTGGGGAACAGAGGTAACACTTGTGGCCGGAGACAGAAACATCCAAAGTGCTTCGCTGTGTAAAGTGTTCCGTGCGTTTGATTAAATGATTTCAAAATTTATTCAAAGAACAAGATTTTCGCCGTTTCTCACAGCGTGATTGATTGCACAGAATGGAAACAAATAATTCTTTTAGAAAAGTCCTTACTTGACAAAATTATAATTTGAAAGGTTTAATGCTTTATAGTTTAGATATTAAATGTTAAACCAACAGCTGTGGGCAAAGTGGAAAATTGATTAAAAATCAAAAATAATTCCAAACTCCATGAACGGTCCTGGATAAAGTTGTATTTGACTGAAACCAAATGCAAAGTGTTAGATAAGTCGCATAAAACCTTTGTTGCAACAGAAGACGTATTTTAAACAACATATTTAGTTTTGATTCAAGTCACAGACTGTTTCTAAAAGCAATCTTTGTGTTATTTCCGTTTTTATCATGTCACCAGTAAAGCTGAGAAAGATAATGGGACACTTTAAGCATCTTAGATGTCACACATAAATCCTAAAATAAATGCTTTTTTTTGTTGACTAACAAAATATAAAAAAAGCCCAAGGGAGTGAATGCTTCCAAAGGCAACTGCAACCAGAATTTTCCTAATTTAGATTTTAAAGCTTATTATTTTGAGCATATTCGCATCCTTCAATAGTAGTTTTTTTCAATAGATTGAATTTCTTTTGCATCATCTTATTTACTGTTCTGTCCTTTTACTTTCTTAAATTCAAGCCCAGTGTGGATCAGTGAACCAGATATATACAAATATAACTGATATTATTCTCAGCCCATCCCTTTGCTCAGTGAACTTGTGTTTCTGCCTTGTAGCGTATCTGGTGTCTTTTATAAGGTGAATCTACGAGAGCTCATTTCAGGCCAGTGCTGTCCTGTCCTCTTCATATCCCCTTGGGGTTTTTATGTGGAGATGGAGAAGCTGAATTCCTCTCTGCTTTTTTCCCCCCTCTTTCTTTCTTGTGTTTCAGACCACTCCTGGTGTGCAGAAACGATATTTCCGGCAAATCAAGAACTTGATAGCAGCTTTCCAGAAGCCTGGACAAGGAATTGCCATGCCTCTGCTCTACCCTGTCACCGCTCAGAGACGGGCACAAACACACACAGAGGCACAGACACCCAGTAATAGCCTGTCACCGACACACAGCAGCCCAAACACTTACCTCCAGCAGCGGCCACCACATGCTGCTCAGGGACAGAAAAACAGGAACAAGAAGGAGGTGCGGCAAGCTTTCGGTTAGGTGCAAACTCGAAGCTCAACATTGACCTAATTATGAACAAAAAGACTTGCATGATCTCTACTGTTGCGTGCTGTGTTTGAAGTAAATGTCATTTCTTTCCTATTACTAGCTCCTTATTGTTAAATCCAAGTCATTTAGGTTCTCAGTGACTCAGATCTCAGTAGCCTTCTAGTGTCTTTTTTTTCTGCACATGCGGCACAGAAAGTGTCTCATATCTTTCAGGGATGTGATGTAAAATATTGAACTGCTGGAACATTAATATCCATTACTGCATACATAAGTTGACAACAAATATTGTGCTCTGTTTTTCTTAATACAATTCAGTTATGTGAATGGCAAATAAAATAAATGACATTGGTTGAAATAAACTCTTTTAAATGAGGTCACGCATACACAGCCACACACCCGAGCCTCCGTCTGACATATAATGTGGAACAAAAATTCAATTTGACATATTGAAGTACTGATTTCCATGGAGAGAATGCTGACTGCTAGAGAGGGGGGAAAAGTCTGTCATTCATCTGATTGACATTATTGGCTCCTCATGAAAAAAATGAGAGAGAGAGAGAGAGAGAGAAGGAGAACGAGAGAGCATCCATTCAACCCAGACAATTCTTCAGTGCAGCGGTCTCCTAGCAACCGGACCCTCCATCTTTTCACCGCTGAGATGAGGTTGGACAGTATCTCAAGGAGCATATGGTTTAGAAGGGAAGGTGCATCGCAGCCGATCAGCAGAGTGCTAGTCAGGAACGTATATCACCTGCTTGCAGTCAGAACATATGCATTGTGTGGCTCTGTCATCCGCAGCCCAGGAGAGAAACACAAACAATTAATGGTGGGCAGATGGTGGAATGACGGTGGGAGGGAGGCGAGTGGGGGATAGGCAGACGGACGGGAGGTGGATTAGTGGTAGCTAGATTAAAAAAAAAAAAAGGAAAGAAAGAAAAAAAAACAAAACAACAACTTACTTTTACAGTTTCAATGTGAGATCACAACAAAACCTATTTTTTCAACATAATGCCTTTTGAACGATAGTTCTAAAAAATGTCTATTTTAATATTTACTTGTTACATGACTTGTACATATTTGTAATATATAATTGAATAAATTTTATTTGTTGTGAAATTAAAAGTGCTGCTGTTCGTGTCATTAATCCCAAAAGGGCGGAAATAATCAATCAGTCAATAGATGGTTAATTATTGGAACCAATTCTGATTAACAATATAACTGTTTATCTAGAAAACAATCAGATCATTTCTGGTTTCAGC